CACATAATATATATATTAAAAACAAATATTAAAGAATTAAATGCTAAAGTTTAGTAAAGAAGATCTTTTAAAAAAAATTAATTTTTTTTCTTATTCCACCCCATCCCCTTACCGAGGGTACCCAAAAAAAAGGATTACTTTTAAAATAAAATTAAAAAAATTCTTACCCTATCCACACACATCCCTACCCCCCTCCCCCAAAAAAAAAAGTTTAAAAGATTTTTTTTTGGGGTTGGGTAGGTAGTGAGGTGGGATTGGGGTACTGGATAGGGGTGAGGTGGCGTGCTAAAAAGTTTTAATATTTTTAAAACAAAAAAAAATTCTTCTTTTCTTTTTTAATGGCTTAATTCTTAAAAATTAATTATATAAATATTTTTAAAATGTATCTTTTATTATATATCTATGTGTACGCCAAATCAACATAAAATTCTACATATATGCTTATACAGATGACATGTGGCATACGAAGAGTGTTTTTAAATTCACTTAATTAAGTAAATGCGTGTTTTTAAGGCTGTCAATAATGAAAAAATTGTATGAAATAACAAACTATTAATTCAAATTAAATGTTAGTTTGTTTTAATTGTAATTCGTAGCAAACATCCCATTTTTTTGTCATCTGATTCGGTATACAATTAGTCATTTTCAGTATACAATTAGCCATTTTTACATTTCGGTATAAAATGTGTTTGTGTTTGTATTAAGCGAGAGAAAAGTGTATATACAAATACAAATACATATATTTTCGTTCTATACACTTGTAATTATACAAATACAGATCTTATTATACAAATTACAATATATAAATAAATTTATACAAAACTGAACAATTTGTATAAAATTGGATGTTTCTAGCGAATTATACAAATCAAAAGCTCCATAGCAAACATAAAATTTGCTATGAAGCACAATTATGCAAACTATAACTATAACATACAAATATGATTTTTATATTTGTTATATGTGAAAGTTGCTCGTCAATAATTGGGGGGGGGGGGGGGACTAAATAATAATTCACGTCAAGTTTAACACTGTTTTCAATATCTATTTCTTTAGTTTTTTTATAAAAAAAAATAATCAAACACATCAACTGCTTATTTCTAACATTTTAATCCATGCATCTACTTATTTATTCAATTATTATAAGAGACACGTGTAAAAAACACACATAAATTATCTTCTCTTTTTTTTAGTTTCATACCTCTACTATTGAGAGTGTGAGTTTCATACCTAAACTATCACTTTTTAGTTTGAGAAACACACATCGATGGTGTGTGTAATACACTCTCTCTTTTATTTGAAAAAAACATTGACAAATGACATTCCACATGGATAAACTATTCCACATTGACAAAAATTAAATAATAAACTATTAATATTAATTAAAAATAAAGTATTACTATCCATAAAATTTAAAAAATAAAATTTAAATTATTTTTCTTACCCCACTCCACCACCTCCTCCACGTACCCCCACCCCGCCGACAATCCCCCATCCTTTTTAAAAAAAAGTCTTTTATAAAATCTTCTAAAGAAATTCATACTTCACCCTCCTTCCTCCCAAAAAAACCACCCACTCATCCCTCCCTCCCCCCCCCCCCCCCCAAAAAAAATTGATATTATTTTACTTTTAAAAAAATAAAAATTTTACCCCATCCTATTTAATCCTCCGTTCCTAATTTTATTTTTATTTTCATTTTTTTCATTTTGTGTAGATATGTACGTACATATTTTTTAGAAATTTTTTTCTACCAGTGTATCGAATATAACATAAATAAGTAAAAAATTAAAAGATGTCTTGCGGCGGCAAGTAAAAAATATTTTTGATATATATATATATATATCTAACACAAAATGAGAAAAAAATTTGGAAGCGGAGGTTAGGTGGGGTGGGTAGGATTTTTAAAAAAAAATATAAAATAATATCTAAATTAGTATTTGAGGGGGGGGGAGATGAAGTAAAAAGAATTAAATTCTTTTATAAAAGAAATTTAAACAAAGTAAAAACTTTAAAAAATGACCGGGGGGGGAGGAGGGGGGGGGGTGAGAGGAAGTGATGGAGTGGGGTAGGAAAAATATTTTACATTTTATTTTATAAAGAAATATTATTTTTTTGGATAATAATTTTTCAACTTTTAATTTTAACTAATACTAATAATTTATTTAATTTTTGTCAAGGTTGAATATTTTTTTCATGTGGAGTGTGATATGACAGTTTTTTAAAATAAAAGAGAGAGTGTATTACACATATCATGATGAGAGTGATATAAAAGAGAGCGGTGTGTTTCTCAAACTAAAAAGTGACAGTTTAGGTATGAAACTCACACTCTCAATAGTTTAGATATGAAACTCAAAAAAATGATATAATTTATATGTGTTTTTGAAACTTATCTCATTCTTATAAATCTCTCATTCAAATGATGCGATAAGTCTTTGAGAAAACAGGCATTAACAAATCATAATCATGTAAAATGAAACATATATTTATATAATCCATTTGAGAACGTATCTTGTGCTCATGTGCCCTAAACATAGGCACACTTAATTCTAGTCAAAATCCAAATACGAATCAATCACAGGCATTTGATATCTACAAATTGGACATGACCGAACCATGTATCTTGATATGAGGTCAAAATACATATTTTTAATCATTATTTGTCTCATATTTATTATTTATATTTGTTCTTTTTGAGCCTGAATTTTATAAATTGTGTTAAATAATATATTTTATTTGTAGGATTGAATTGGTGGAAAGATGAAGAAGTTTGAAGCTAAAACAAATTAACAATGAAAGGTTGAAAAAGGAAATCAAGCAAGAAGCTTAATAGATTAAATTTAATATAATAATATATAATATATAAAGTGCAAATATTTCAAATTGCTAATGGCGATTCAGCGAATAAAGTCCTGCCACGTGTCACTCACGACGGAAGCTACAGTGAACTTTTGAGGCCGTTCACGCGGAGAGGAATTCTTACTCCGCTTGGTTTTGGTTTTCCAATTTATTTTGGACTCAATTATTTAATTTAGGGTTTTCAACATCTATAAATAGTCCATAGAAATAATTGTTGGAGGAAAAACCAATATAGAGTTAGGAGGCACTTTTGAAGAGAAAACCGTCAATACTTTTTAGGGTTCTTTTCTTCTTGTTTTTTTTAGACATTAGTACCTAAAGCTCTTATTCTGGGGCTGTAACTACGGATTCAATGTTGATTATTTAAGGTTTTTGAATTAATTCTTGGTTGTCATTACAAGTTACTTCTGTATTCTTGTTTTAGTATTTTATGCTTGCACACCATAAGATAAATACATTGTCTAATCTTAAAATCGAGAGAGGAGGGATTAGATAGATCAGAGAATATAGAGAACTCGGTCCACCCATTAGATTGAGGTGATAAGTGTTCCAGAGTGACGCCTAGACGAACACCTTGCTTGGTTACAAAATAGGATGAAATATAAATGCTCGTCAGTTAGTCTATTTATCCCCGCTCAACGATGTAGTTAGATAGCTAATTGGGGTAGGCGACGAGAGGCGTATAACTCGGATCATATCATCAACCCTATAAACCAGTAACTTGACAACTGAAGAATTTAAGCCAAAAATATGATACATGAAATCCAATACATGCTACAACCCTGGGATTTTCCAACTATTGTAAGTAATTTTATTAATTTGTTCTTGCATTCTTCTCTTTTGGCTCTCTTAAATAAATAATTAGATCAGTATAATTTAGTAAAAATAGTTAATTGACAAGTCATTTGAGTTCGATAATATGGTTCTTTTAAGAGTCACTATATTACTTGCGCGACCGCATACACTTACATGTGCAAGCGGGAGCAACAAGTTTTTACCAGCTACTTGTTAATACAATTGTAATGATGAAGACGCTTACAAGACATCCTCTTAGGTTTGTCCTTAACCTGAAACTCCAACAAACAAATTGCACATTCACTCTCCTCTCGAAGAATTTCAATAATTGGCAGTGCCTCCATTGAAGCCTCTGTTGTAGGTAAAGACCCTCGTTTTCAACGTTTTTAAAATTTATCGATGATGGATTTCTTATAATCATATTAATACAATTCATTGTTTGAATTTAATACCTACTAAATTAAATAAGGTAGATCTAGTGGTAAGCGATGACATGATTTATTGTTGCAAATACTTTTGAAGAAGACATGTCATTTATGTGTGTATCTATTGTAATGAAAAACCTAATTTTGGTTTGGATTTGAAATAAATATATATTCATTAAAGTCATGCACACAAATGAGCAAAGTGGTAAGTAATCAATTGTGAAAGATAGTTTCTATGTTGTGTAATTGTATACCATATGGTTAAATTATAGAAGAAAGATTTATGTATCATATTTCTAGATAAAGAAGTTTGGATCGGTTTATCTAAGAAGCTAAAGAAATTTTGAGAATTTATACAGTAAATTAATTTGTGGGAAAGCATAAGAGAAATTTTACTATTTAGTTGATAATTTATACCATTTATAAATGAAGTTTTTGAAGATTGGTATTTGCACTTCCCTGACATTTCACATATTATTTCTATTCGTATCAATCATGACATCATATAATCATATATCCTTCATCACCAAATAACTATACAAAACATTCACCATATGAAAATATAAAATATTGAATCCATCTAGTTATTATTATTATTATTAAAAAATAAAAGAGCAATTAAAGGACAAACAAGGATATTTGAAGTGTTGAAATATTTTATTTTTTTGGGTTAAAAGGAGTATTAAATTATTAAAATTAACTTCATTTGAAAAATAATTTAACTTTAATTTTTTTATTTTACTATTAATAACATAATTTCATTAGTATTATGTAGTTTTTAGAAGAATATCTTTCTCCCCAAGAGCCACAATAATAGTTCCGCTAAATTGAATGAATATTTTGTTTAAATATATATAAATAATAAACCCAATGAAGCGAAGGATCATGACTCATGATGGTGTCACTTCGAACTACAAATATTAGTATCAGAATATTCCGATAACGGTGCAGATAAATTGTGTCCCAATTCAAAAGAAGCAAAATCAATCGATAACTGGAAATAAAGCTTTGTGTTTCTATCTTTGAATTAGGGTTCTATATTGCGAACCCTAAAATTCCAGTTTGTTCCTAATTCTTGTAGCCATGGACTCTCCCGCTGCAAATCACTTGGATATATTCGATATCTATAGCCGATACTGTGGTATTTTAATCAAGATTCCATTTCTTGTAGTTTTAATTTCGTAATTTTTGTTTCTCTTTATGGATTATCATTAATTTAATGCTACTACTGAATTCCAAACTAGTTGAGTTGTTTATATGAATTGAACCGATTTCTTTCAAGAAATCATGCAAGGTTTCATACTTTTGTTTTTGATCTGGAAGTTCGGTTGTCCCTTTAATTACTTAGGTCTCCATGTTTTTATGTGAAGGCCTTGATGTTCTTGTTTTGCACTTATTTAACTTTTCGTAATTTGTTTGAATTTTTTCGAACACTTTATGTTTATTATACATAAACAAGTCAGGTTTATGTAATTAATTGGTGTTTTTTAACTTATGTTGCTCTGCTTACTGATGGATTTGCTTTGCAGATATCATGTCAGGGGCATATGCTACCAGGAACCTAGTAGATGAATTGCAGAAAGCGAGATTTACAAGAGAGGCATTGAACCAGCTTACGAAATTAGTGGATTCAAGTTTGCATATAAGGCATGTATTTGGTAGGACATGGAACTAGCAGCATCTTTTGGGTCTTCTTTAAAGAGTAGAAATAGATTCACAAAAAAACTGTAGAACTAGGGATTACTGGGGTAAAAGAGTTTGCTAGACTTAAATCCTTTATGTATGTAAGGATTCCAAGAGTCCAAAACTATATCTACGAGAGTTGAACCAAGAGTTTCAATTTCTGCTTTCCCCTTGAAACACCGACATGCAAACTTGCAAATGCTTGACCCATATCAAAGAAAAGTTGGGACTTCTGTATGCATACTACCTTTTAAAAATAAAAAATACTTACGGCGATTGCTCTTTCTGTCTTGCAAAGACAAATGTCTAACAGTAGAGAGAATAACAGTAACTCAAATGGATTTTCTTGAACGGTATCTAACAGATTTTTGGTTGATTTTATTAGTTTTGATACTTAGGTCCTTTCAAAAAGAAATTTTCATGTCACTTCTGCTTTGAGTAGGGATATGTGTTTGATATTACATTGGAAAGACTGATACATTTACCAGGTGTACCAAGTGATTCTCAAGACCAATGCTGATATCCTTGTTCTGCCGTTACATTTTTATCGGTGCTTTCTGTCTAAATTCTTATGTGATCATGTCGCTTACTTGTGTTAGTCTTAGATTACCTTTCATTATGTGGGGGGAAATAGATAGGTCATAGATAGGTCATTAGAGGTTGACAATATTGACAAATTTGTTTTCAACCATGGCAGGGCAACTATCTTTGAAGAAGTGTACAAGCTTAAGTTGCGGTTGAATTTGGAGGTTTGTTGATTAGATGATGTTATGATGACTGGATTTTCTTTAGTTTGAACTATCTTATATTTGTTAATAAATATAGGAGCTTGGGTTGGAGAAGGGGGGATTTCTTTTCCTGCTTTTCTGTTTCTTCTGTGTACGCTTGTGTTTTGGGTGGAGGGGTGAAGATTGTGGGTTCTGTTTCATATTCATATCCACGTCCATCTCTTTTACAGTTGGCCATAAAACATTACAAAGTATTTTAATCATCAAAAAAGGAACTTACATTGTATTTCCTTTTGTAGGCAGACTTCTCTGAGTTCTCGCGTTTCTATGATTTTGTCTTCTTCGTTTTCAGAGAAAATGGACAAAAGAACATCAGTAAGTTGATTACTTGTAGATGATTTTGCAGCAGTGTGCTTATTCTTCATAAAGCATTCGTAGTGCAGTTAGTTCTATTTTCAACTTATTTTGAGTTTAAAATATTTTCAGCTATAAGCAAAGCTGTTACTGGTTGGAAAATAGTTTTAGCTGGTAGGTTTCGGCTACTTGATCACTGGTGCGACTTTGTTGAGGTAAGTGTCAGTGGCCCTAATTGATTTGTTGTCATGTGTTCAAACTTCAAATTGCATTGTTCATCTGTTTGTATGTGTTCGAATTATGGAATTTTAAGACTCAATAAATTCATCGATTACAGAGGAGCCATGTGCTTGCTTGTAACTTTGCTTCGTTAAGGTTATTTGAGTAGACAATTAAGTCTACTTTATCAAGTTTGTCTTAAGGGTCAATGGAATAGAAACAATAAGGTTTTGTCAGCTGATGAATAGACGTCGAAGATCGTGGGATGTCACGTCATTAGCACCCATGTGAGTCATAGGCTTATGGAAGGAAGGAACCGGAGAAGTTTTGATGGGATAGAACACGTCTATGTATATTGAGGAACATCCTCTCATTTGTAGTTTCTTCTTTGATCCATGAAATTCTTGTTTGTATAAAACGTTAGGAGTTATTAGTAGAGAATCCTATTAGTTGTAGATTCTCTGCTAATACATGTACTGCTTGTATACGTGAGATTTTCATAGCAGCAACAATAATTAAGCTTGAGTTCCAAACATGTGAGGATTCATCATGAAATTGTCTAGTTTTTGGTTGGCTGGTTGCCTACTGCAACTCCGCTCCTTTTATCCAACTTTAGGACCGGCAATGTGAGCAAGCTTTACCAGCTGGACTGCTGGAGTTATACATCTGATTTTCCGATTATTAAATAAAATTTGCAAAAGAAAAAAAGGTTTTTCCATCTGGTAGATTTTCTTCTTTGTGTTCTTTGTGATTATGGTTGTTTTAGTTGTCTTGTGTTTTTGGTTTGGGCATTGAGGTTTTCAGTTGTAGTTGGATTGGCAGCCAATGCATTATTTAGGCTTGTATTTGTCAACTTAACTCCATGGTGGTACCTTACTTTACAAAGAATGATGTTCTACTTTGTGGTTGGGTGACTGCAGAATGTTGGTAACTGGCAATTTTTCTATATAGTGATTATTTTTTACTGAAATCTCCAGATAAACCAGCGATACAATATATCTGAGGATACTTGGCAGCAAGTTTTGGCCTTCAGCCGTTCTGTGCATGAAAATCTTGAAGGATATGATCGGGAAGGTATTAAATTTATGCAGTTGCAGCTTTCAATTATCACCATCCAGGACGTGCCAATGTTACCCTTAAATCACCATCCAGGACATGTCATTGTTACCCTTAAATCATACTTAATTAATAGAGACGTATTGTAGTTTGGTTCCTGAATTTGGTATTTTATATTTTTTCTATTTAAGAAGTATCTTCTCTTTTTTTTTCCAATCTTTTCCTAGTTGGTATCATCTATGCATCCTTTACTTCTGTGATGTTCTATTTATGCTATTATCAGAGATTTAAACATAAGTTATTTGCAAGTAGATAGCAGCAAAATGTAGGTTCTTAGTTTTGAAAGAAAGGAAGTTAAAAGTTACTCTATTTCGTGGTAGTCTGATCATCAAAGTTTAATTTGAAAGTTTGATTTGTGTATTAAATTGGTAAGATCATGCAAGCATAGTTAATGATGCAAAAACATCACTTCATTGTTTAACTGAGTCTGAATTTTTGTATGAAGAGTCGTATAGAATTTTATTATTTGCTTGAAATGTGTCAAACTTGTTGAGAAGTCCTAAGAATGAAAGACTATCATATAAAAATAGGGTAGGAAGGAGAAACATTTTTCAGGTCCCAGAAGTAGGAAGGTTAATGTTGTTTTCCGCTGCCACAATTATTTTCTGTTTTGCCTTGTCATTCTTTTCTGTTGAGTAATTAGTCCTTTACGATATATAATATTGGAATGAATTTGCACTTCTTTGGTATTGTGGAAAGATGATTATGTTTAGAATAGCTGCTTCCTTTTTCGCATATTTTGTGTTTCGATCTTACTAACCCCACTCCTTTAATCGTTATGTTTTTTTGTGGTGATGTTCTCTATAGGAGCTTGGCCTGTTTTGATTGATGACTTTGTTGAGCACATGTACAGGTTGGCTACTAACCAATTTTTCTCGTGGAAATTAATTCCAATGTGTTGCTGCTTCTTTCATCTAGATTATATTGGTCCTGTTTAGAAATATTTACTTGGAACAGTAATGGGTTCTCTTCCCTTTTATCTTCACTTTTGGGGCACGAAGAGGTTAGACCATGTCTGGCATGTGTATCTTAGAGATGTAATTACCCCCTATTGCTCATGCTTAGAGAAGATAAGCATGGTATGATATGATTCAGGAGATTGATCTTCATCATTCACTTGTATCATTTAAGATATTCATCTTATTGGATGAATAAGTTCGGGGGACTAACTCAGGTGACTGATGTATAGAACTTTGTGGATTTGGAGTCTGTGTTGGACCGTCATGGTTGGGTAGCTCATGGCTATACAACTTGTGGTTGGTTCCTTCCATGGAATTTCATTACATGGTCTATTTTTCTTTTACATGGAGGATGTGTCTAGATTTAGATTCAGATTCAGACTGCAGCATAAACTAATAGAGAAATCTTGGCCTTGCTTTAGCTATCTTTAGAAAGCCAAACAATTTGCACTGCACTTTTTTAAACTAGATTTGACGAGGCAGATTTGTTATGCAGGATTGGAGGAGTCGATGCTATTTCTAACTCATTTTGTTGTAGCTGTGGTGATTCGGGAGCCCAGCCATTTGAGGATTCTTTCCCTGGTAATTGCGGCTGAAGATACTGTCTTAGATCACAGTGAATTATCTACACTATTATTACTTATCTGTGTTCTTGGTGCAGGATTGAAAAATTTTCCTGGTATGAAGAGGAAAAAATCTTGTGGCAATTTACAAAGAGTAGAAGAATCATCTCATGGACATCCAGACATGGATGTGATTGTCAATTCCAAGAGGAGGAACATTAATTTTGGCAACCAAAATGTTGACTGGACAGAAAACCAATCACATGGTTGCTTGGAAATGGTTAAAGCAAATAGCCCATTAAATCATTCTGCATCTCCATGCGCTGTTGAAGGTTGTTTGTCCAAGGGTTTTGCGGGACTGTTGTCAGGCCCTTCATGTTTGCAGTTTGATAAAGAAAGGAGAACTTCCTATACATAGAAGGTTTTTGATCTTGTTCATTACTGCAAAATATATCAGGGGTAGGAAGCAGGAACCATTATGTAAAAAATTTCGGGGGGTTACATGAAACTGTGTTATGTGTCATTCTTTTTCTTGTTGTTCAACTAGTTTTCCACGTGTTCAAATCTGCTCTCTGGTAACTAATTCTGTGCTTGTTGTCGCAGAACGTCCGGTGATCTGGAAAGAGTGTTAATTGCCATTGGTGATCTCCCAAATTCTATTTCATGCAGATGGATAAGCTTGAAGTGAAGTAGAACTGGGAATATGTAGGTTTGGTATCAACAGAGCACAATCAGAAAGTGGCATCTTTGATTTCCGGAGGGAATATGTATGTAGGTGTGACATGAGGAAGTATTTTTTATTTTTGAAAAAAATCAATTCGAACTGTAATATTGTATCTGCCAGTGGGTAATGAATTACAGTCTCTTTTTCGGTAACAATCTTTCTGATGCTTATTTTAATCCTCTTGGGTGTGTGTACACGTGTCTAGGATTTGTGGAGCAAATCGAGAGGTGCTCTCTGGTAATAAAAAAAAGTATATGATTTAGAAAAATAGTTTGATATATATAAGCTATGTTATAAGACCTATCCCTAACTATTGCTTTCATGATGATTACTGCTAAATATTCTGGAATTTGCAAGTGGAATTGTAAATTTTATTAGTTGATAAATATTCAATTACTAGGGAATTCGAATTGTTTCGGAGGCTAATAAGCTGAGCTAAAGGCGCAAGTGAACATTGTGTAGGAAACCATGATTAGTTAGGTAGGATTTGATAATCTATTCATGTCTAAATAGGATTCACAATACGAAATTATATATGAATAGGTTTACCTGTTTTGATTTAAAATATGTTTTATATTATAATAAGGGAAATGAACTTGATATACTTCTCAACTTTGTCATATAGAGCTGATATGCCCTCATTATGAAAGTGGCTCATATATACCGTTATCGTTATACAAACAACTCATATATACTCCTACCGTTTCAAAATGAGCTCACATATGCCCTTCATTTAACGGAAATGAAAAAAATTAGTTTTAAATTTATATTTTGTACTTTTAATTTTTAAAAAATTCATGTAGGGATATATATGATTCTTCTAGCAAAGTTCAAGTTATATTTTAATCTTTTTCATACATAAAAAAAAATTTTGACTTCTTTAATTATCATTATTTGAGTTACTTATTCTTATTTTATTTTTTTCTTTCATTCTTTGATGTAAAGAAAAAAATTTAAAACTGGTTTTTTTTGTGGCTAATTATAATTTAAAACTATTTTTCGGCTATATTGTAATTTAGTTTTTGCATTTGAAAAAAAAATGGTCATCTATAATAAATTTACAAGAAAATTAGTGAAACACAAATAAATTTGACCATCAAAATAATACATTTAAATTAGTCATTAAAATAAAAAAAATACACATGAGGAGGGTTAAATATACCCATATGAATTATATTATTTTTAAAAAAATATTATTTTTTTCACTTTCGTTAAAGGAAAAGGGTATATATAAGTCATTTGTATAACAATAGGGTATATATGAATCACTTTCATAACGAGGTATATGAGCTCTAAATGTCAAAGTTGAGGGTCAGTTTGCTATAGGTAAAAGTTGCTCGTCATTGGTCAATTTTCTTGGCAGGGGAGTGAGTGTATATTATTGCTGAGGATTTAGGAAAATCAGAAGGTTTATAATCATGCAACGAGGCATCGTCCCTGTAACTCAAACGTCTTGCAATTGACTGAAGAGATGGTTGACTGGAACAGTTTTGCTCTTGAAGTACTTTCAGATGCATTCCTGATCTCCTAATTGTAAGATTTTTGCAATTGGAATTCGAACTGTAATAATTTATCAGCACAGAGGTAATAATGTATCTGTCAGTGGTGTTAGATTACACTTTTTTCGGCAAAAACTAATGACTTTCTGTTGCTTCGTTTAATCCCCAGGTGTGTGTGTGTGTGTGCGTGTATCCATCCGTCTAGACGTGTGATGTTTCTGATGTGTGTATCCAACAGAAATGTGCTCTACGGTTTTAAGTGCTTCGAATGGTAACTGGGAATAAATCGATGTACAAACTCTCATGCATCAGGCTCATTCCAGGAAACAAGTGCAATGTCATGAGCCTAACTTACCAGAGAGAATACATCTTGAAACTAAAATTGAGGTCGCTGATTATTTGACACTAAAACTTTCAACAAATATAGAGTAGAAATAGCAACATGTAGCTACATTTGCTAACAAAATAGAGTATATACATGATTATATGATCAAGTGCGGCAATCATTCCTGACGTGGTAGTAGTATGATAGTTAGCCAACTTGTTGCATGCATCCTCTCGTGTCGATACCAGAAACATATCTCTGAAATCCCATCATTAGAACTTGATACAATGGCCAAAATCCCCAAATATCTACAAGTAATGAACCTCACCACTGATACTTAGCAGCGATGAGAACTTCTTCATAGTTCTGAGCAGCATTATCCCAACTTAAGTCTTGTGTCATACAACGTGTCTGAATCCCCTCCCAACTCTTTTTGTACTCACGATAAGTCAGTAAGCAATTTCCTAATGCGTGGATCAGCTGGCTAGCTTCAGCCTTACTGAAGGTCCACCCCAGTCCTGACTCATTAAAAGGATCAAAGGGCTGCACAGTATCTCTGAGTCCTCCTACTGCATGAACAACAGGAATAGTCCCATATTTCATTGCATAAAGCTGGTTCAGTCCGCAAGGCTCAAATCTAGAAGGCATGAGCAGAATGTCTGCACCAGCAGTTATACGATGAGAAGTCTTCACAGAGAAACCAACCCATCCTCTAATTTTATCATTGTGTTGACACTCAAATTGCCTTAGCATCTGTTCAAGGTCACGCCTCCCCGTCCCCAACATGACCAGTTGTACATCCTGACCCATCATCCAAGGCACTGCCTCAGCAATCAGATCAACACCCTTTTGTGGGTCAAGCCTCCCAATGAAACCGATCAGTGGGACATCATCACGAACTGGTAAACCAAGTTCCTTCTGCAATGCAGCTTTACATTGAGGCTTGCCAGTCTGCAGTGTGTCCAAGGAGTAGTTCACGTAACCATCTGACTGTAAGTGAACATCCAACTCAGGGTTCCACTCTTTTGTATCAATCCCATTCACAATACCCCGTAATTTCCAGTCGTTCTCATTAATTATCTGATGCAATCCCCAACCACCTTGGGAAGTCTTTAGTTCCCATGAATATCCATGACTAACTGTAACTACACGATCTGCTGTCTTTAGACCAGCCGCAAAAATGTTGAAATGCTCACCTCCTACTGGGTCATACAACTTGAAAGGGTCCATATAGTGTGGTGGAAGATCTACATATGAAAAATCCTCCAAAGGACCACGACCCTGCATGAAATGGAACAAATTATAGAGCTGAAAATGATAGAAAGCTGGCTAAGATTGCTATATAACCCTTATTCACGTTACAGAAAGATAAAATAAATGACACAAATCAGAAAATACTAACAAAATCCAGAACTTGGATAGAGATAACTCCAACTACTCTACTGTTTTATATTCCAAATTATTATTTTACACTCTTCACGTTATACTTAAAGTTATAATCTACCAGACATTTCAAAACAATTGCACAGGTCAAAGTAGGTCATGTTTAATTGGACGAACAGAGTATTTCTAGTTCTCTGCTGCTTATATTACATGTGTAAAATCTTGCTCACTCCATAACTGCTCTTTGTAACTTTCATGAAGAAAATTCATTATAAAATGAAAGTTGTATTCAAATGCATATCAAAGGAGGAAAGGAAAATAAAATAAAAAGATGATAACTAGTAGTAGAAGCAAAATGCATCAGTGTCTTAACCTAAGCACGTGAGGAAAAGGTAGAGTTGTACTTTGTTAATATAAGACATCATGTACGACATATATTTTGGTAACTTCTGCGAGATTTTCTTTTGTTCTTTGTCGGATTGATCTCATATTGTTGTAGATCATTACAAATCAAAGCATAATCCAGTATGAAGCTTAAAGGCATCTTCGTCTACCGGCTCACGCCCAGAGATGAGAGAACAACTTTTCAAGGAATTTCACATATCAGGCAATACTCCTAAACAAGTCTAAGGATGGTCTGTGCATGATAAAAAATGCTTTACCTGTAACTAAATTCATTGATAGCCTGATACGGTAACTCCCAGTGGGTACCTAAGCAATTGGAACTTAGTGATGCGGAAGCAGTGTTATTAAAAGCGAAAAGCGCAAAAAAGCTCTAAGGTCCGTGGGGGCTTTAAGCGCAAAGTGCAAATAAAGCGTGGGCTTTAATGAAAAAAGGCGCAAAGGGAGAAAAAAAATAAAATGTGTATGTTTAGTCCAAAACTAATAATTATAAACATGAATGACAAATATATGACCAAAGAAATTGAATTTTTTTAATGATAAAGTGAAATATCAATTGTTTAGTGTCACTTCTTCATAAGAGGCTCATTGACAAGGAAAAATTTGTCTTAGAACTTTGATGACGGCACTGAAGCGCACATTAAGCGAGGCGAAGCGCTCAATGCATTTTGAGCCTCGCTTTAGGGCTTAAGCGCGCTTAAAGCGCGCCTTTGATAACACTGTGCGGAAGTAATAATTATGTCCCAAGAACACCTAGTAGATATATAATATCAAACTAGTCATCGTTATTATTTTATTTTGATAACCGAGAAATCCTCGAGGCCTTCCACAGTTCAAAATTCAGTGGATAATGGGCCCACCCATCGGTTTTCCTATCAAGGTAATCATTTGTTTAAACCTTATGCTTAGTAGTCATAGAAATCATGATATATGACCAACCTCCATTGGAACTTAAAAAATGGCTATACTATTAAACCATTGGAAATAAAAATGCACAGGTGGATTAGAAAACTGCTATAGTTGCTGATGAAACTGACCTGATGAGCGATGTTATGAATCACCAGGACAGATCTTGTATAGTTCATAATTCCATTGTCACGATAATAAGCTTTCAGATATACTGGCAATAAAGCAGTATGCCAATCATTAGCAATGAACACTAAAT